TACTATGCTTATGAGAGTGGGATCTGAATTTGAGTCCTGGCTGTCATCTTTCCTGGCTGTCAGCTAACCGTCTTGAACCTGAGTTTCCTCCTGTGTCAAATAGGTATAAATGATAGAATACCTGCTTCCCCTGAAAGCCATTATGTTGACAGGAATAGTACAAAAACTGTCCAACCCTCCCGGTGAAGTAGTCTAAATTTGGAATTGTCAACAATTTTCTTTTCTCCTATTGTCATTATAAATTTTTATGACATCATCCTATGTCATAGTATGTTATAAAAATTTGCATTGTTAGCTGTGCTTCTTTTGTGGTGCCCTTTCCTACCTTGTACCTTATTTCTCCTTCTAGTTGGGGAGCTCTTTAAAGGCAAGGAGTGCATCGCACCTTCCTAAGGCCTTGGACATATGGAAACTGCTAAAAAGCCTCCTTTACGGGAAAGGAGGATTCCATACAACTTGACTGGTGACATCAGTGCAGGCTCATTATTAATAAGATGCCCCAGCCACAAGGTGCCAGGCCTGGCCCTGAGCCCTGTGATCTCTGTAGAGTCGAGCGTTAGGCACATGCAGTCTGAGCTAGATAGACCTCTGGCTCCTGCTTCTTAAGAGACAGAAGAGAGTGTGTCTCAATCCCATCGTCTTCTGAGTCAAGGATTTGGGTGGTGCTGGCATTTCCCTGAAGGCAGAGTGGTAATCCTGCTTGGAACATGAGACTTGCTTTCTTTCCTAGGTCTTCCATGATCTGTTCTGCGGGTAAGGGTTTCAGACTTAGAGGAAAGGGTCACTGAGGGTATGGGTTGGGGGCAACTCTGAGAGCTACTTTCCCCTCTGACTTCCCTGTGGGTGGGGCCTTCACCAGGAGCTCTCCTTTAGACCCTCCTACCTTTGCTATGCTTGGAAGCTGACCACCCAAGGAGATTTTATGTCTTAAGGGGATGGCCTGGCTCTGCCACTGAACTTTCTTTTTTGCTATTTCCCAAAATATAGTACTTATGAGTTTCAGGATCGAAGTGATTTAGCCTGGAACATAAAGTCCTCCATGTTCTAGTTGCAACATTCTTTTCCAGCCTCATGTCCCACCGCATCCCTCCACGTCCTCTGTCCCTGGCTTCACCAGATTAGTCACTTTCCCTGAGAACACCCTGAACTCATCCTCCTCAAGGCCTTTGCACATCATGTTCCCTGGGGCTATTTTCCTCCTCCTCATACATGGAAATCCTCTTGGGTGTTCAGGCTTAGTTTAGAAGTCACATCTGTAGAGAACTTCCATATTCTCAGAAGGACATTGCATATACTTGTGCTTTTGCACGCTTTTCATTCTATTGTGTGTGTTCCAGCATGTACCCAGTGAGGCTGTGGGCTCTTTGAGAGCTCTAGGCATGTCCAACTCAGCATCTACACCTGCTAGGTCCACACACTGCCTTAGCAAGGACAGGAGGTGCTAGTAAACCTCCGTTTCTGAATGCAGAACATGTGACATTGTGTCAACTATCATTTGGTGCAGAGAAGCTTCAGAAGCCCATGCTAGGGTTTCCATGATTTTTTAGATCATAAACCCAGCCATTTGAATTCTGTTTTTGAATTGGCCTGATAACAGCTCATTGCTAACCCTTCTCAGGGCTGTTTTCCACATACCAGTAGATGTTTGCTTAGTGTCAGGACTCTGAGCTTTATATTTCACTTAAGAACATAACAGCAAGCATGAATTCAGGAAGGATTTATGTGCTTCTAATATGAATATTGTTGTTTTTGTTTTTTTCTTTAGTTTGAAAATATAGGCATTGTTTATCTCAGAGCTCCCTGAAATGTGAAAATAGGGGAGTTTTAAAGGTATATTTCTGGCCCTAGCAGAATAGCTGTCCATGTTATAGTTGTAACTACAAATTACTAAAGCTCATATTATAGAGCTTGATTTTGAAAACCTGCATTCAAATCCTGGCTTTACTATTTACCAGCCACAAAACATTGGGTAGGTTCCTAGCCTCCCTGTTTCTCAGTTTCTTCAGTGTACAATTGGGAAATTTTTCTCATAGGGTGGATGGAAAGTTCAAATAAGGTTTTGGACATGAAATTGAAATTTTATTAGTGTGTATGTTTCAGAAACTGGATTTGGAGGCTATTTTTAAATATCAGTTCCAAGAAGTTTGCTTTTGAAGGAAAATACTTAGTTGTATAAGTTTTCATGAACGTGTTTTGTTTTATTTTTTAAGAGATAAAATAAATGAATTTATAGGCAGGGGATGTACAGTTCCTAACAGATTTAGGAAACATACATGACTTATAAAGACTCAGTTTTAGTCCAAATGAATTAGAATCACAGAACCGCAGGCTTTGAGAACTAGAAATCTTGGAAGAGGGTGAACATGAATTAATGTATATTATATGCAGGCTTTGTGCTGTACACACTGGATATGGAATCCCAGGTAATGATCCCATACACCCTGATAAAGTAGGGAGTATTAGCCCTGTTTTGCAGACAGGCAATCTTGAGCTTAGAAAGGTTAAAATGAAAGTCCAATATCAAAGCCTTGACCTTCACACTGCATTCCTGATGGCCCCTAGAAATCCCTTCCATTTACAGATGTGACAAGACCTGCTTTCACATTGTTGATTTTTCTATTCCCCAACTCCAGGGGCAGCCACTAATTCAGGGCTAGATACAGCAGTGGAAATCTGCAGTCTTGATATCCTGTAACTTGTTTAATGAATCTAGATGAGTGTCTTGACATTTCCTACCAAAAGTCTGCTCATAACATGTCTAAAGATTGGGCTCCTTTCTGTGACTATTCATTCATCAGACTTCTTTTTTTGTCTTTTGGAGAGATATTTGCCATTGCCCATATCTGCGTTTGAGGTCAGGAGTACACTTGAAGAGGGCTTTATATTCTCTTTTAAAACATACAGGTGGAAAATTAAATTCTTCAACTATTCCTACCATCTTCCTCTGCCATTTGTGGGTGACCATGTGGAAGAGGTGTCACGGAGCTGGGAGTTTGGAGCTATGATTTTCATCTTGAATCTCTCACTGACCAGGCCAACCTTACTTTTCCCTTTGGGGGCCTTTGTATCTTTATCTTTAAAGAATGAGGCACTGCTAGGTGATTCCTAAGATTTTAAAATTCTGCATGTTTTGTGGTGTCAAAACCATCAATTTCTGCTGAGCTGCATAATCCTGCAGCTGTTTCTCTGATACTTTTCAATCTTTAGATTTAATCTATTCAACAATGTATAATTTTTTAAAGGGAAGCTTTTATAGACACTTCTGAAATATAAGGGTGTGGGGGGGATAAATGGATGTTAAAAAATAGAAAACAACCAATTAAATAGTATATAGCATGTAATTCTCCTTGGAAACTTACCACGAAATTGAGGAGCACTTTAACAACTGGTAATTTAAATTGCATTTGAACTTTGCTAATGGTTTGTTTGCATGGGAACTTCAATCATTTCTCAGCGGTTCTTTAGCAAAGCTGCATGTTCTCTTTATGGAAAAGAAGAAAAAAATTATTAAAAGAGAAGTTGACTATGAAAAAGGGAGACCACTTTGATTTGTGCATGGAGAGAAGCTGGAGAGTCTGTGAGTGATAGTTCCCCCCAGGGCCAAGGGTGGAGAGCTTTTCCTTCCAGTGAAGTTTAGAAATCTGGGAAGTCAGATGCTCTTTGCTGCTGTTGTGGAAACTCTTCTGATTTATCTCTCTCTTTCTCTGCAAGAAGCTTTGCTTTCATGGGGCTGGGGGTGAGGGCTCTCTTTTTGATTTCCATGGAATTGAACTGTCCACAATGTGATATTGGCCTCATGACAATCGATTTCTCAGCAAGTTTGAAATTATGCCTCTCTCATTTCAGTAGAAATGTTTTTTGAGAATTCTGAGGTCCTTGAACACCACTAGCTCTGAGGAATTGTATTGCTTTCCTGAGCTTATCTTGATTTTGCTCCATATTCCCTACTTCATTTCTTTCTGCTGTTGGGGTGTACTGAGTGAGCTTTGAGGCAGTTGTTCAGAGGCCTGGGTGTGTCAGTCCTGGTTTTGCTCTGGGTGTAACAGGTTGTGTGACCAATGGCAAGTCCCTCTTCCCAGGGGTCTTGGTGTCCTATGTCAAGATGGGTAGTAACTGCATCTAGTGGAGCAGCCCTTGGACTGCCTGCCACTACCATTGGGCTCCTGGGCTGGCCATCTCCCCATCCTCTCCCACGCCTGGGTTCTCCTCCTGTCAGTTGGAAGAGTTGAAGTAGGTCATTTTAAAGCTCCCTTTCAACTTTGAGCTTATCAGGTATTTGAAGACTGAGTGAGATATTACACAAAAAACAATTGTAGGATTGGTTAAATATTTAAAATGACAACAATGAAAATGGGTGTGGTAGTTTCTCTGGTAAGTGGATTTCTCCTGCACACACAAAGGACAAGTTTTATAACAGCCCACTGCCCTGGAATACTTGCCTGTTAAAATATATATTGTGTAATCCTTAGCAGAAAAGTAATAGTTCTTAATGAAATAAAACCTGTCATGAGGACTTTCCAGAGAGTGTCAAAATTGTCCACCTCTCTGCCGCCCACTGGCTCTCATTTTTCAGGAAGGGAAACTAAAGTTCAAAAGGGACATTAGACCCCATAGTTAGAAATTTGTCTCAAAACTCATATTCCTTTCCTCTTTTTATTTGGTGTTCAGATTTATCTGTTAATGTTTTTTTCTTGCTTACAATGTATCTAATTGATTGATCTCTTTCACCTCCATTATTAAGATGAAGCTATTTTCCCAGGAGAACTGAGGCACCAGAATTCTCTTTTCTTATTATTCTGAGACAAATTAGTGGAATGAAAGTGCCAGGAACCAACTGCCTGGGAGTTTTGGGGGTATAGAGTTAAGCCACTAGGGTTGTGGATTTCAAGCCTGGTGTCATTCTCCATATGGCCCAGTCAGAGACTTTATAATCTGGGAAGTTCTGAAGCTGACAGGACTCTAGAGATTCATAAGCAACTGCCTTCTCCCATTTTCCACAGGTGGGAAATTTGAGGCTCAGCGACAGAGCAGAAGATAGAATCTGGTCACCTTGATTGCCAGTGCACTGCTGTTTCATTATTCCACCGGGCATCATCAGAGGGAAGACATTTTTTCCTTAGTTGGTGAGTCCTATCACAGGAAAGAAGACTTTTCTCTTTTAAAATCAATGTACATGTTATAATAAGTTTAAAAAAATTAGTGGTTTCCATTTAAAGCCTGGGTACCCGTAACTAGTATGGCTTAAGAACTGGAGAAGAATGTTCTTCCTTTTTCCTTGAGTTGATTTTATCAGTGATGGACAAGTTATACTAATACTAATAAAACATGTGGCAAAGCAAAGGCAGGCATAGCTCTTAGAAGGTGGCAGGCAGAAACATTGGGAAAAAAGCTGGAGTAATGATTTCAGGTTGCCAATGACTGTATTGCTTCCTTCTTTCTCCTTTGGTATGGTGGGAAATGTTCTTGATATTGAAAGACCAAAATGGAAATGCCAGTGTTATGGGCATTTGTGAGGAAAGAATGCAATATTATTGAGTGTCTCTTGTTTATCTCTGTACAAGGTGCTTCTTCTTTTGTGGTCTCATTTATTTTCCCAACAGCCCTTTGAGGTAGGGGAGGCTACATTTGCTGAGGCAAAGGGTACGAGCCTTTGTGTTAAAGGGCCTGCCAAAAGTCCATTAGGATCTGAGTGTGAATCTTGTGTGCTCAGAAAGGAGAATGGTGACCAGGTAAGGAAAGCTGTCCCTTGTGTTTGGGGTTCCTCTGTATTAGCGGGTAGAGTAGAATGTCATGTTCTCAAAGATGGGGTAGTGAAAAGATCAGTGGCGTGTAATGATACCCTCTGTGGTGAGATCTGAGGAGAGTTGCTGGGAGTTCTGGGTAAGGATTCCACTTAGAGTCCTAGCACGGTGGTCTCTGTGCTGAAGCCAGTGCATATGTGACCCAGGCATTGGCTTTATACTAAGTAATACACCTTGCCCTGTCTGCAGTGCAGTTTTCCAAAACAGGGCAGTTGCCATTGTGATTTAAAAAAACTGACTTCATTCAACACTGTAACTGAATTTATAGTTGTGTTTTGTTACTCTGTCTTTTCTCAATCAATGTGTCTTAAAAGTACAAGTGACTTTCTGCACACCTTTTGATCTGTGTAACATAAAAGGCTGAAAACCAGTGATTTGATGCTGAAATGTTATACTCTGTTAAAATGTCAAACGTGGTCTGGAATATTTTCCCCCTAACATATAGTTTAAGTATTAAATGGGAATATTTCTTTACTTGCTCCACCTTTTTAATTTTCTCAGTATTTAAAATTAAATTGTGATAAATATGAAGCTTTGTGCTTAGGTTTAAAAAAAATCAAGTGTGCCACGACAGAATGGGAGAGATTGCCTTAAGAGGAGCAAGCTGGAAGAGACTCATACGGTTTTGTTGTTCAGAGCTTGTTATGAGCCAGCAGTGGCTTTTGTCTTCTAAAATGCTGATGCAGCCTTAGCCTGCATTTAATGGAGTATGGTATCTAGAACAAAGAGGGCGGGTGATCCGGCAACACCAGGACACTGGCAAGTCCAGACGTAGGGTGGTCTTCAGGCCCAGTGTGAGCAGGCCTCCAGCTCTGTTTCTCTGCAGTGCTCCTCTTCTGGCCTCTTTTGTGTGTTGGCTTTATCCTCAGGATGTTTTGCCTCATGGTCATGAGATGGCTGCCCACTGCAACCCAGACGACAGGCATCCTTCTTCCCATTTGGGAGTAACACAGCCTTGTTTGCCATATTCTCATGGGCTTGGGTTACTGTACATTTCTAAACCAGTCACCGAGGCTAAGAGAATAGCATTATACTAATGTGTATGAACGAGAGCTCTCCTAGAACTGAATTGGACACAATCTCACCTCATGACAGCTACACGGTGTAGAAGACCTGGCCCCTCAAAAGAATATCTGGGTGCTGTTAGGAAGGGGAGAGAGAAATAGAAGCTATGTGGGTAACCACAGGCCTTCTGCAAACCTCCTTACCCCCTGTCAGAGCCCCTCTAGAGTGTCAGACTTTAGTTCTTATTTCACCTTCTGAAAGGGACGTTAGCCAGCCAGACTCTCTGCACAGGGCTGCTGTGAGGACCAGAAATGATGTCCCACCAAGAACTGTTACAGGAATGAGATGGTGGAGAGGGCAGGGTGCTGGGGAACACATGATCATGGCCTTCTAGAATATAAAACCCAGCAGAGGAGGGGCAGCCTCTCTTGTTCCTGTGTGTGTTTCCGTAGTCTTGTGGGGTCTCTGGCACGTAACATGTGCATTATGCATTTTCATGGATAGAAAGAGTAAATCTGAAGGTGGTGAGTGTTGCTTTGCCTGGGGGTGTTCTGTCAGGTGTTGGCTGACTCTCTGCTGGGGGGTTATAGGAATTCTGGCACAGATGAGGCTGCACTACATGGTTAGATGAGAATGAAACAAATGACTGGACAGAAAGAAGCTTTTGGCATCAGTATGGCTTAAGAAGTTTGTGAGTCCATAAAAAGGCAGTCAGTATGACGGGATGGGGTACCAGAAGTCCTGCCGAGTATTAGATATGTGACCCCCAAAAAACATCCTTCTACTCTTATTTTCCTAATCTGAGAATTAGAAACAGGAGTAATTGCCCTGCCTACCTCTCTTGTTTGTTTAGAGCAACTGTGTTGTTAAATGATAACCTGTTTTGTAAACTATACAGTGTGGTCTATATATACATGATAGGCTATTACAGTTGTTTTCTTCTTTAAAGACTCATCCTGAGTATGAAGAAAAAGGCAGAGTAAGCCAAGTGCCCCACGCTGCGCCTGGTGCATAGCACATGTTCAGTGTACGCCCTTCCTCCAGGCCTGCACCTCAGTCCTCCCCAGGACCGGATGGGTACTGACTTGTCTTCAGTCTTGGACAGCAGCTAGATCTGGAACTTTGCTTAACAATGGTGGCTAAGGTGAAAATAGAATTGTATATTATTATTATTATTATTCACATTCATTTTTGCCTGAGGCAACAGGAGGTGGAGGGAGGTAAATTTGGAGACCAAGGAAGCTCAAAGCTTGAGACACTCCATAGAAACTAGAGTCTAGCCCATTTGGCTTCTTGCTTTGTTTGGTTAGATAATCACACCTTCTGCTCCAGGCATTACTGACCCAGTGGGAGTCAGGAAGGAAATTATTTCCCTCTGTTGATACCCGTGTACAATTGTTGACTGTAACCAAGGGCTTTCAGTTTTAATATTTCCTCTTTGGTCCTCAGAAGTATCAGGTATTAGTCTCTGCCGGAAGCAAAGCATTGGTGGTCATTTCCGTTAGAGGTGGATGTCATGGCTGTCTGCAATTAGTCAGGTGGTTTCTGGGCATGTATGACCGTTTGCTTAGCCAGCTTTTATGTCATTTGCTTCAAAAATTACAAGAGGACTTGTTGGGTTTGAGCAGTGACTTATTCAGTCTCTGGAGACTCTGTGGCTATTCATGTAACCCAGGGACTTCTTGTAGAAGATATGTTTGCTATCCATGAAAGTAAAAGGTAGAGATAGATATCTCTCTCTCTCTCTCTCTCTCTCTCTCTCTCTCTCTCTCTCTCTCTCTCAGACTAGATTAAAATAATCCAGGTCTGGGCATTGTATTAGTTGTCTATTACTATGTAACAAATTTAGCTTAAACAAGAAGCATTTACTATTTCATAGTTTCTGTAGGTCAGAAATTCAGGAACAGCTTAGATGGGTGCCTCAGGGTGTCTCATGATGTTGCAGTCCAGGTGTTGCTGGACCTGCAGTCTCATCGGAAAGCTCACCTGGGCAAGATCCACTCACCGCCAAGCTCACTCACATGATTGTTGATGGATTCAGTTCCCTGCAGATGCAGATGCTTGTACTTAGGGCTTCCATGTCTTGCCACACCACCTTCTCCACAGGGCAGCTCACATGACAGCTGGCTTCCCTCTGACCGAGTGTGCAAGAGAAGGTCCCCAACATCCAAGTCACTGTCTTTTTATTACCTGATCCTGGAAGTGACACACCATTTCCTCTGTCTCATTCTCTTTACCAGAAGCGAGTCGCTAAATCCATCCCACACTAAAGGGAGGGAATGCACAAGGGCATGAATACCAGGGGGTGGAGTAATAGGGGCCACTTGGGGATTGCCTGTCATAGTTACCCCAGGTGACATGGGAGGTGCTAAGCGGGGAGTGAGGGTTACCTGCACCTACTGAATGAACTCAGCATACCTCTGTGGATCAATTTTACTTGAAGACTTTTGGGAGAAAACTCCATTTAAAAATCTTAATATAAGCATTAATGTATAATACCACAGAATGTAAAATTGGCATGGCTTTTTAGAGGAAAAATACAAGTTTTCAATTAATGCTGTGCTCCCATACCTCTTATATTTTTGCCCTCCTCAGCAGTTAGAGCTGCTGGTAGCAATTGGTAGCAATGTCTAAAAGTTCTCACTTGAGCCCTTTGCTGTATAGGTGAAACCCCAAGACCAAGAAAGGGGACACACTCTTCTGGGGCCACACAGCCAGTGGGTGGCCAGGGGACAAACCTTCCATCTCCGCACACAGACTCTGCTTCATAATGAGTCCATGCAACTTCTGGGCATGTTTTCTCTTCTTTTCTCAACCTCTCTCCTGTCCCTGAAATAGATTATGGAAAATAGGTCAAAATTTGGAGTCTCGAACCTTGATTTTGCCTTTTTAGTTAAATTTCAGGCATCTGCATCTCCTGTTGGGTCATGCTGTGTCCTGAAAAGTTGCATAAATCAGTATTACTTGGCGCAGACAGTGTGTCTCTGCAGTTATGAATAACATTTGTATTAGGGAACGAGAGCTGGTACACGGCATTACCGTGAGACGGACAGGAACAGACACAAAGCCTCAGCCAGTACCTTCTGTCTGGCTGAAAGTTTCTTTTCTAGAGCATCCGTCTCTTACGCCACCAAAATAGTCTTTTTAAAAATCAAGCGTGGCAGTTTATTTTATAGAAGATGACAGGTTCCCTTCGAGTCCACCTTAACATTCGTAAAAAATTAATGGAAATGGGAGACTTGAAATTATGGTCGAGCTTATTAGTAGCCACATAGCCAAGTGAGGTAAGCACAGCTTTGGTCACTGAGGATGTCCCT